CCCCTGCCCCGGGCTCACTAGCGGCTCCACTGCCCCGGGCTCACTAGCGGCTCGTGCCCCCTTGCAGCTGGCTCATTGCTATCCTGGCCCAGGCCAACCCGCTGTTTGGGCCGCAGCTGAAGAACGAGACCATCTGGTACGTGCGCTTCCTCTGGGAGTGAGCGGCGCCTGCATGGAGATCCCCACCACCACCGTGAGTGGGCACAGGGCAGTCAGGGGTAGCCACAGTGTCACTTGCGCGTGTCCTACTAGGGCAGCTGGCTCAGCACTGGGCCTGAGCACAGCAAACGCTTCTCCTGAGCCAGCTGCCCTCGCGGTGTGGGGTTGTGCATGGGCACGGCTTGGTGCTAACACCGCTCTATCTTCCCCTCCACCAGGTCTTGCTGCTCCAGTCTCTGCCCTCACGTAGTCCCAGGACCAGCTGCCCCCAGCCCCCTTGGGCACTGCAGGTGGGCGCAGCACCAGCTGGGCCCTCAGCCTCAGCAGGCAGGACCCCTGCTGGGCCTGGGGGCACAAGCCCCACAATGCCCTCCTCAGACTGGCCCTGCATGTACCCATGGCACCTGGGAGAGCCCCTGTCACCTCGCCCAGTGCTGTAGTCAGTGATGTTGATGACCAGCCCGTCCTTTGCAGGAGGGAGAGAGACCTAGGTGTAGGGCCAGTACATTCTGCTTGCAGTGCTTGTCATCCTCCCTCCTCAGCACAGCCCTGGGCTCTCCTTGTGCGAAACCTGTTCCCATCCCAACCTCAATAGACAATCTCTTGTCTCTGCTTTGGCCCCTGTTTGACCCTCTGCAGAGCAGCCAAGAGCCTGTGGCCCCCTCTCTATGTGCAGTCCCCTGCCGGAGTCTGGGCTTGCAGTGGAGTCCTCCTTGCTAAGACAGGTTCGGGGTGGGGAGAGGGGAGGTCTGACCTGCAGGGGACCAGACTGACCCCCCTCAACATGAAAGGGGGGGGGGGTCAGTCCAAGGGGAGGGCATGGGGGTCTAAGGCCAGGCAGCCAGCTCACACTGGAGGTTGCATCCTCTCCCCTCTGAGGAGGTTAGAGTAGTAGTACAGGTGTTACCCCTCTTACCTTTATCAATAGTTGGAGAAGGTCTGAGTATCAAGTTAGTAGCCTAGATCTCTTCTTTTATTTATGATATAATTAATGTGTATTTATTTATTTATTTGTCTGTGTTTGATAAATGGTATTGTGAAAATAAATCATTTTCTAGTAAGTGATGCTGGAGACAGTAGTCACCTACTCCTGTGTGGCAGAGGCACAGTCATGATTGTATCCTGTTCTATTCCCCCTCCACCCCCCCTGCTGTTTTGGGCTCCTCAGTGCAGGAAGAGAGCAGAGCCAGCGGCGCATGAGGTCCAGGTGCACATTACTGGTGTGGGAGCAGGGCCCTGCCTCACCAGCAGCAGCGACTAGAGCCTGGTGGGGGCCGTTGGGCCCTGCTGGCATGGGGGAGGTTAGCCTTCAGCCCTGGCAGCTCTGCCAAGCTAGGGGTCACAGCAAGCGAAAAGCAGAAAACTTCCCCTGCAGCTCTGGGGACAATCCCAGCAGCACAGAGTGAGGTGGGCACTCACCAGAAAAGGAGACCAGCTGCGTACTGGATGGCTCATAATTATTTTATTGCTCTGGGTATGGGAACAGTTCAAGTATAAACTCAAGAACTTCATTTGGTCCGTGGGGCTGCAGCCCTAGGGCAGGAAGGTGGCTGCCAGCACCCAGAAGTGCCCCAGACAGTGATGTGGCTTCCTCGGGCAGGCCCAGCCTGCCCTCCTGCTAGGGA